TCAAATTTTATGATTGATTTTGTGTGTTTTACTAAACTTTAGTAGTATTTACTGCTTTCATTAGTTTTGATAAATTAAGACCTTTCTTCTTGTAGCAGTTTTACTGCATAATTCTTGATTTTAAAACAAATAATCAACAATAACGAAACAACAAGTGTACGATTAAGCGGCCATAACTTCCAAGGTGAATACTTCGTAAAATATAGATCTATAGCTTATAATTCTTTTTCGACAAATTTTTACGCTGTCTAATTTAAGTAGTTGCTGAGATCTCCGTGGCGAATATTTTTTTTGTTTGGATAACGAAGCGGAGCAATGGTAACGCACAATAATTTAAGTGGCGCTACCAGTATTGTGTCGTACTGAGGTACGCATCTCGTTTGGAACTTTAGAAAGTTAATAATTTTTTGCCGCTTAAAACACGCAGACCATGAATGTATGCGGGCAATGTGGCCAGCCCATTGCCACTTCCTTGATCTTCTTAAGAAAAATACACAAATACATTTTATAAGTAACGTTTTGTCGAAAGGTACGGATGATTCTTTAAAATAACAACAGCATAAATTGTAAATTTTGTTTTATTACTATTCTCACGTGCGTTCGTGGTAAATACATATCTTATATCGATTCATAAACTCAATTAGTTGATTAAAAAAATACCTGGTATGTCGACATTTCATCTTTTGAATACAACTGATATGATTAAATACTCTATTCCCTGTGTTTCATACTACATGGTGGTCGTATTAAAGACACACAGTAAACGAAATACCCGATCTGTGATTTTAATAAACTGTTACAAAAGATATTGAAGTGAAGAAAACAAAAGAATTCAACCACATATAAACGTATAATATTATACTTACTGTAAAAACACACACATGGAAACGTGACTAGGTATTTCGTTTTGCCGTGTTGTGTACATATCTACGTATGTGGACTCAGTATGTTATTAATATTACTTCCACTGGATTTCTAATATAATGTAACAAAACCAAGGCTCTGCAAGTTTTCTATAATACGTTGGGTATGTACTTTTACATACAAACTTGCTCGCAGTAATTATTTGTATTGCATGTACCTACTGTGCCATAATATAAATCACATTACAAACATAAATTAATAATATGTCATAAGTCGGTAACCATAAAACCTGTACCTCTCTGTAGTATCTCTAATAATGATCTAATACGTAACTACCACTAGAACTTCCAAATATACAATTTTAAAAGAGAGGGCTAATCACATTGTTTTGGTAAAATTATTGACGTATTATACAGGAAAGCACCCTCACAATCTGAGTCATCATATTTCCCTTTATTTTTGTAATGTATGTTGTATCTAAGCTAACATAACAAAATACGTTATATGGTACCATAACAGATCTAAAGATGGCGTTGGTTGTAGATCTTCAGTGTCCACTATTTTATGCCTGTTTATTATTTTTGATTATTATCCACGCAGCCCATTAGTTTCAAGGAACAATGAATAAATGTTCAAATTATAATGTCGAAAGAGTAAACTTTAAAAGATGCGTAAAAAAAATTGCAAAGAAAAAGATGCGTGACAATGATTATTACTTCGGGAATTATATAACGTAACCTGGTTATCGCTTTTCCCATATTATTAATGGCATATGTACTATGGAACACGAAAGGTTAAAATTTTTCTGCTCAAGACTTCACACAAATGGCAACGGTCGTACTAAAACAGGGGTTGCCACCTTACTGATTTGTAAAAGACAAGTCTCAGGATTAAAAATAAACTTAACTACTTTATATTAGAGTTTATTTTCACAAGCCCTGGAAGTTCTAAAGATATTTAATACAATTTTCTGCTATATTTTTGGTGCTTTTAGCACCGTCGGAATGTAAAATAGTAAACTTAAATTAGTAAGGCACAAACTATGATATCACAATGTGCTTATATCTATATTAATAAGTGAGTAAATTCATGAAGTTAGTTCATTAGAACTAATGACGTGCTAACAAGATTAGTTTTTACATATAAAATGAAACTGGCACTGTTTCTAATGTAATTTAAGTCATTACAACTATACATATTATCTCCCCTCCAGAATGGAATGAGGGAGGAGGAGATTAGGTCTCTGGTCACCTCACTTTTTCAAATGTATCGAAGCATGGACCTCCCGCTGCCAAGCGAATTTATTATATCAAATCAAATTTGCTTTCATGCGATGAGGCTTCGAACATAAGGCAACGGAAAATTGTTTATGTCCTTTCGTACCCACTACCAAAGGACATTAAAAAATGAATAGAGAATTGCTTAAAAAAAAAAACGCACTGTCATTAAAACTTGTGAGGGCTTTTTAACTTAACTTTAACATGACATTTAATAAACTGCTAGCGATTTTATTTACGACTTAAATTACTTTAGTAACATACAGAATTGAGATTTATATTACTATTATATAAAATAACAAGAAAAAATTGAATAAATGTGTATACAAAATAGTACAAATAATAAAATAGATTTTAAAAATTCCTATCAGTATTAATTAGGAAGAACCAACACGATAAAATAAATCTTTTGGTATCAAAACTACTCAGTTTTTTATACTTTCATAAGAATGTAAGCCGAAACTTAAACTTGACTTTATAAGCACAAGTTAAAATTCACTAACGATTTCATGTCATTATTATACTGCTATATATCCTTCTATTAAGAAAAAAGTATATCTTAAATTATTACGACAAATACAAGCAGTTCCTTTTGCAATCTAAATAATACCACGTCTTATAAATACAGAACTATATTAATAAACATAAATAAATATTTGTACGATATTCTACATCAGTATTAAAAGATACACGAAATAAACACTTAAACAAATTAACTTTTGTAAAAATAACATTAATTTTTGTATGTCACATACAAATTCGGTTCGGGAATTATCAATTTAAAAAGAGCACCAACATTTGCGACGTGTGTTGTCTTTTGTACAATATTGGACTATACTTTTGGAACTAAATACACTTCTTACCTAAAATATTGCAAATATATTTCGTTTATTTATATGCTAAGACTTTAAATCGCGAAAAATATACATCTATAGATTTTTTTTACATCACGATAAGAAAGGTATAAAATTATTCGGAATACGTATCTTATTCTACATTAGTAAGTTTTTTCTATAGTAAATAGAATGGCAAAATAATTTTCTGAATTGAATCTTAAGTAATAGATACTATAGTATCTAGTAGTAATACTAAAAAATAGGCAATTTATTTTCATCTATTAATTCATAGAAAAAATGTTTTAGCTATTTGGGAGCAGCCACAGTGGCTGGCGAACGGTGGCTTTCATCATAAGATAAATATGAAAATTTCAACAAACTAATACATATTATCTCTAATGCCAAAGAATCCCCAACAGAAATGAGATTATAGGGATTATGTTCCCGTAATGGTTAGTGAACTTTTAAATTCCTAATAATTGATTGTAGTCTCCGCAACCATAACATCAATTATTATCTTACGTAAACAATTAAAATCATTTAGTGTAACATTAGAATAATATAAATACAGAAAACAAAGCTTATATAATAATTTAAAACACATCACACAAGCTATATTCCAAAACGAGTAACAATATAACTTATCTAAAGTGTAAAATGTTTTAATTCAAAACTTAATACTTTTTATGTAATTTGCTTACTCGTAGGTTACACCGGTAAATAAAGAAACATAGCGTCTTTAATACGCTATGTACCGCCTCCGCTCTTGTTGAATAGCCTAGATAATATAAACTCATTATAAACTTTGTTAGCAAGCATAGTCAATATAGGCTAAAAAACATCACTAAATTTCATTTGGAACGGGTTAAGGGATATTTTGTTATAAAATGAAATAAAAATCAACATAATAATGTATTCAGTTATTAAAATTGATGATAATTAAAATTGAAAAGATTAAAATTGTTAATATATTAAAATTCATTATATAATTAGTATTTTTAAACCATTTTTAGAGGGCGGAACTGAAGAATGCGTTACGTAGCCTAAGATAAGTAAAGTACGCAAGAATTCGCAGCCATATCAGCCATTGGAGAAAAAATATTACGGGAGGGATGACACTTACACAATTAGTTAATACAAAAGTTATATAAATCACTTAATTGGCAATAAAATGAAGATAAAAGAAAAATAGTAGTACAGAATCAAAACCTGTTATATCGATAGTGAAGGATAATGAAAAAATACGATTGAAAATCGATTATCATCGATTAATATGATATAAAATCCATTGATAAATTGATCGGCTTATTATAACTTATATTATATCATCTATAACGTAAAGTTTTCATGATTTATCATATTAAAGCGTTATTGCCGATTGCATCTCATTTTTCTTTGTTTTTGTCTAATGGGAGAGAGCGAGATGAGACGATATAACAAAAATAATTAAACCATTTAGTTATATCATAAGGGCTTTATTGATTATTTTTGATGAACCCTTATTTTGAACAGAAGCGCATGTTTATCAAACCTGCGACTGAATGTCAAGTCTATCCAAGACTTCATAATGTATACATCATTACGTGTGGTGACGGATTAAGAATACAGAGTGTCACCACCCCTATTCATCCCGTGGGTGTCGTAAGAGACGACTAAGGGAGAAAACTATGCAGAACAACAGCACTGCAGAGAGAAGGAAAACTTGACACAAACCCTATACCAACCCGTCTGGCCAGCGTGGTATAGTAGGCCAAAACCTCCTTTCTAAGGAGAGGCTTATGTCCAGCAGTGGACTATTAAAGGCTGTTGATGATGATGACGCTTCATAAACACCATCACGAGTAACGCTACACTCTTTCTTATCATTCTTTAAACGAAATAAAAAACAGAATATTTTTGTATAATTCTTCAAAATCTTACATACAATTGAAGTAAAGATTAAAAATATATTGCTTGTTATTTTACCGACGCTTAAAATCCGAGAGCGGAGACATTTAAAAATCGCAGTAAATTTCCTCAAGTTTCAGCTACTTAAGACCGACGAATCGATCGCAGAATCACCATTCTCCTTATCATATTTTATAACACTATCACAGTCCAAGTAATCCATGTCGGTCAGTTGCCTTTTAATTAACAAATACGGCGTTTTTCTCACCTGTTTTTCTTTTAAACACTTCGGAATTATCCTTTTGTACTCCATTACGTATTCTATGATTATCCTCTCGAAGAATAACGCTATGACAAAATTGAAAGCCGCCAGAGCCAACACGATGTAAGACATCAAGATATCTTTTGGCATTCTGAGCTGCAAGAATGCCGCGAGCCATTGCGCGGGCATCATTGTTATATATGTACAGACAGCGGTCATTATCAGCATGCTAATCATAAGCTGTTTGTTAGTCACCACAGACTTCCTATAGGGCGCACCGTGGCTAAATACTATCGCAAGAGTTATATATTGAAACATGGACACAGTGAAAACGGCGTAGTTCTCCCAACACTCGTTGACTTCGTCGCCTTGATACGTATGTCTCACATACCACGGGAACAAAGTCAAGGCGTAATAGCTCAAGTACTGCGCGATCGCAATCAAAACCATCTGTCCCAGTATCGACGAAAGCGGTATCAGCCCTAAAAGAGACGTTAGGGGCGGATTCTTGAATAATTTACCGGTGTAAGCCTCGGTCATGCCGAAGAAGAACGCGAAATTGACGATCAAGGCGACGTCTATGAATAAAAATTGGAAATCCGTGAGGTTCGAATCGAAGTAATACAAAAATCCAACCGAGAAGAATTCCGTGAGAGAGTAGGCGACCATGAATTTGAAGACACCGAAGGACGTGGAGAGGGCGGCTCGACCCTCGCGCAACACCCTGGAGACGCAGACGATGTCGGGGTTGGCGGAGGTGAAGGGTGCGGCCACGCTGCTCTCCAGCTCGGAGAGGGAGATGCCCGTGTGGGCCGAGCGGAGCGCGCCGCAGTCGTTGGCGCCGTCGCCGCACATCGCTGTGATTGTTTACACCATCATTAAACGAGCATACCACTATTCATATTATGTTATAAAATATACACTGCAATCAGGTAATAAAAATATATACATTATTTGAATTTTCAACAAGTGATCCTCCCACAAGGGCAAGAGGGGAGGGGTTTGACGGTGATTATCATCTATTTGACTCGGCCAGTTAAATATTCCAACTTCTGGTCGACTCTCCATCTCGAATAAACTAAATAGAGCCCTGCGCCCTGACTAATCGGTTTCCAAACTTTCGTACGAAACAATAATTTCTTGAAACCTGTTTAATCAAAGGCTCGATCGATGCGTCACTATTTTCTAAACACGAATAGACTATATAGCGAAAAACTGACCAGAAGAGTCCACTTACCGACATAGTAGCCGAGCGCCTGGTACTCGACGATGAGCTGCTGCTTCTGGTCGGACGTCATGCGCGCGAACACGGCCCCGCGCGCCACCACCCGCGACACCAGGTTGGGGTAGTGCTCGCGGAGCACCTGCGATCATCACTTTATGTAGACAGCCATACACTCAAGGCTAAATCATAGACTATCATTTGGTACATGCAATGAGAGGGAACTGCCAAATGACCACCTTGATAGATTTGCAAAATAGGGGGTATACTAGAGATGAACGTTAAAGAAAAATTTGACATGGGCTATGTGCAGAGTGGGAAAATAATAATGACTAACCTTCCAAGTATCCCCAGTCATAACGATCTTGTATCTGGGCTCGTTGGTCGACGCCTCGACGTCGAAGGAATTGGTGTTGGAGCCCGAGCCCGAGGCGGAGCCCGAACCGCGCCAGGAGCCGTGCCCGCTGTCCTCGCTGCGCCACCAGCGCACCAGCGGACAGCGCCGACCCACGGGGGCCTAAATAATGTACACAGTTTTATAAACAGTATTTTATGTAAGGAACTATCTAAAAAAAAAAACATAAAAACAACTTTAACATCCTATAAAAAATGTAACTATTATAAAAGTGAAATATGAAAAAATATTATTTATACGTACACGTACTATTCTATTATTCTATCTAGCTTTCACAGTACAAGCTTTGCTTAGTTTGAAACTAGATGGCTTTGTGTGTCGATACCCTTATATATGGTCCTTTCTTCAAAAGGCCTACCCAGACCCTACACTGTACTCGCACAGTTTTCTTTAACTTTGTTTACGGGCTAAAAAAAAGACACCTGTGTGTCTGCCTGAGAGTGAGTCTTAGGAAATGCCGGCTCCCTCAGCAGTAAAGTCCGACTTGTAAAAATTTCTGAAAAGATTTACTTACGGAAATAAATAGCATTTCATTTTTACCCTTCTACCATTTCATTTTTAGCATTTATTTGTTATTATTTTTTTATTTTTGGGTAAAAAGCTCGGAGGATTTTTTTTGGAATATAGCGACCCAACTCACCCCATGTAAGGTGCTCTCGCAGTATATGAGGGGCGAGCTGCCCGACGTGTCGGCGTGTAGGTGCACCACACGTTGGTCACCCGTAAGGATACCGCACTCTTTAGCCACGCTCACTGCTGTCAGAATGTTGTCACCTACAAATAATAATAGACAGAGTAAATAAGAGGCAAGTAGGTAAAAGTAATGTTTATAACTAGATTCACCCGGTGTTTATCATTCATAGCCTGTGTTAATCCAGGGTGTCAGCTATCTTCATACCAAATTTTATCAAAACCGGTCCAGCCGATTGAGTGTGAAGAAGTAACAAACATACAAACAGACACACTCACATGTTATTGATATAGGTTATTAATTCCGTTTTTTCACACAATAATAATAATAAAGCATCTACACTACATGCCTTCGCCGTGATAGGAGAACTGGATTGGTAAAACTTACCTGTAATCATAACCACATGAATATTGGCGTCTTTCAGCTCTCTAATGATGCCAGTTGTGGCTCCTTTTAGTCTGTTCTCCATTATCACTAGGCCTAGGAACTCCAGGTCGACTTCCACCTACAATTATAACAGTATTCTTGGATTATAAGGAACAGAGAATAGAGTGTGCATCGAGGGAGCGTTCGCAAGGTTATTAGTATAATAACAATAATATCTATGCCTTATATCCATAGTATCAGTATCATAGACTGACAACCAATCTTTCCAGATGTCGACTTCTATTCTACCTCACTATTAAGGGCTATCATTAGGTACACCGTGGGTGTCGTAAGAGCCGACTAAGGGAGAAAACTAAAACAACAGCACTGCGGTAGAAGGAAAACTTGACACTAACCCTATACCAACATGTCTGGCCAGCGTGTTATAGTAGCCCAAAACCAACTTTCTAAGGAGAGGCCTATGTCCAGCAGTGGACTATTAAAGGCTGTTGATGATTAAGGGCTGGATAAAACAAAGTTCAAAAGTCAAACAAAAAGTTAGTTACCTCTTCCCTGTTCATCTTCTGCAATTGCTTGCAGGTGACTTCTAATACTCTCGTCGCACACGCTATCACCCGATAACCCTTCTCCGCGTATGAGTTTAACACCTCGAACAAGTTATCTGGGACTGTGGGTAAAATAATTAATTTTGAACTTATATTTCATATTTAACCTAAGAAATACATATCACGGCGTCTTTTCTAATAGCAAATGCTTCTAATAGCTAAACTCGTACTAAGGGAACACGGATAAATGTCCCAAACGAACGCAAATAGGCATATATGTTTGAAACTGATCGAAAATTATAACTCCAAAAGACTTCTATCAAATTAAAAATTAAGTTCTCACATTATTGTAGTACATACTTGTATCAGGAGTACACAAAGTCCGTAACATCTCAGGTGCTCCTTTGCAGTATACCCGCAGCACGTCCTCACCCAACACCCGCGTTACCACTGAAGCACGTTGTAGCGAGGACACGAACTGGTACTGGTGGACTATACCCACTTCTAACGGTAACTGAGGAAAAACGAATGTTGGATACGAAAATTGAATCTCTTCTATAAACAGAGAGGCACTTAGGGTAGAAGGGACAGATTCAGAACTTACGAAAGTAGGTACAATTACCACGCATTAGCGTTTCTAATCTTTGTTTATCTAATATTGACCGTAGATAATTTTAAATAAAATAATAATTAAAGCATAATGTAGTAAATAAGGCACAAAATTTATAATTAAGAAATTTGGAAAACAGAAGCGGACCCAGAATTGAGCCTTGTGGCACACTGATCATTTATCTTGGGTAATTTTTTCGAATTCTGAATTCCACTAGACCCTGCTCGTCTTATGCGATGGACAATGCTTCTTAATCTCTTTAAGGCCAATGGTTGCATAATGAGTTATGAAATCAACTTGTGTAGTTTCATTCAAAGGGCTAAGAAAGTGCAACTTTAGAAAAGAGAAAATTAAATAACAAAAAGCACAAGATCTGGTGGCTAAGCAGGTATAGCTGTAGCTCCATGAAGGTATAACGCTTTAGCTGCGCTGAGCAACATAGTCTAACATCACATTCATAAATCTCACTTTCATAAACGGGATGTTTGTAAATCTTTAAAAACTTACATGTATATCGTCAACATCGATGTTAGCTGTTTTCTTTGGCTTTACAATGGTAGGGGTTAGAATTTCGTAATTCGAAGACTCTGGCACATCAGGTTCTTCTAACACCCATCCGGTTGACTCAAACATCTAAGAGCAAATGCATATGTAATGTTACTTACTAATAATCGTAAAATCCAAAACGTATTCATTCGAACGCGACGTGACTGACATCCTTGTTATATTTTTAATCACTAAAAATGTTCGTCCGTGTGTTGACGGATTAAGAATACCGAGTGTCACCACCCCTATTCATCCAGAGGGTGTCGTAAGAGCCAACTAAGGGAGTAAACTACGCAGGACAACAGTTACTGGCAGTGCTGTAACTGTTGTCCTGCGTAGTTTAGTTAGTTAGAGAAGGAAATCTTGACACAAATCCTATACCAACCCGTCTAGCCGGCGTGGTATAGTATTGCAAAACCTCCTTCCTAAGGAGAGGCCTATGTCCAACAGTGGACTGTTAAAAGCTGTTCATGAATCTAAAATAAAATCATTTCAATCTAAAACTTATTTAGTGCTATCAAGACTGAATTAATACCTGGTTACGGCAAAGTCTCGCTGGTCAATACTTTGCTTGAAAACGGCGTAAAGTTTAGGACAAAAAATATAAAATCTAGTTAAAGTTTCATCTATGTAAGAAATAGGTTTACCTTGAGATCCAAAGGGTCTCCGGCGAGCTCAGAGTCTAAAAGCGTCAGACTATGACAGGTCGCCATAGCTAGCTTTAGAGGATGCAACTCATTCAACTGTCTGGGATCTCGCTGGGGCCTGCCAAGTCGAGCAGGTCGCGTGGCAGCTGATACAGCAACAACACCCCACATATCTAGGCCATCTTCTGTTAAGGTTCCTGTCTGCAAGCGCCATAGAACTTGATTTAACATTTAAACACATGGCATGTGAAATTATTTATATAACTGTCATCGATAAATATGCATTTGATAAAGAATCATAGGAAATAATCAAAAATGTCCCAAAAATACAACCTTGAAGTAGTCCAAAACTCGTTTTGTAGATTATGTTTGCGCTACTTGACATTGTTAGGTTTTTGTATATACATACATATACCGTTGTAATCGATTCATAATAGTATTCTAGACGTAAAGAAAAAGCTGATTACATAATTCCGTATAATCATAGTTCATAGCTTATGCGATACAGTGTTCAGCGTTTTGGAGAAATGGAAGAATAGTACATAAATTCTTGTATACATTTTAATGGTCATGTACATTTTATCAATATTAATATTTACATATCGAACAAAACCTCTTACCTTATCAAAGCACACGCAGTCGATAGAACCACTAACGTTGACCGCTCGCGTGTTGAGGCAAGCTATCCTGGCGCGCTTGAGGCGCGACACAGCGTAAAGGCGTCCAACTGTCATGGCGGCCGGTAATGCTGGTGGGATCACGATGGTGATGATGTCAAGAGCTTTGATTGCTATATCCCCAGCTGATAGAGCACGGGCGGCCTAAAAAAATATGTTTTTAAAACACCATGCAAACAACATCTAACACCAAGGTTGTTCTTTCAGATATTACTGAAGTGGTTAATACTATGTAATTTTTTTTCTTTTATCTCTCTTTAAAGAAATATAGGATGGCATAGATACGAATGGTCGTCTGAGTGGCGTCAGTCAGACGGTATCGCTGTCACCTTGCTTTGTTTAACCTACCCGAAGAAACTTCCCCGACGATTTTGAGATCAACCAAACTTGTACAATGAAACTTACCTTTAAAGCTATTGTATATCCGAGTCCAAGAAAGGCAATACAAGCCAAGATGATGATAAACTTGTAGGAATCACGGTCAAACTTGAAGTCAGCAGGAACCGGATACAAGATACTCCTCACAAGTTGGCCCTTGCTAGTGTTGTATCCAGTGCGAAGAACGAGAGCTCTAAAAAGTATATTTACAATTATATATACATATAAGTATTGTTGATGGTTATTGTAATTTATCAGCTTTAATATTAGTTCTTCATTTACCAATATAACTGGAACTGCCACTGTATAGACTTTTCATACACGGCAACTCCATAAAAGTATTGGACGCATGTAGAAGCTTCTTGTAGCCGTTTTCATATAATTTTTAAAACATTGTTTAAAATTTTAAGCTTTGTGTACTTTTCCTTCCTACAAACGCGAACTTTCAAAATGTGTTACTAACCTAACTGGTTCGTTATTGTAGTATCTAGTCTGTATGACCCTAGTACCGCAGAACAGGATACTGGAAGAGTGCTCTTTTAGCGAGAATGGACGGTCAATTCGTAGCAATGCTGTTTTTGTTACTGGCACTGATTCACCTAAAAGAAAATAATAACTTTCAGATGGGTGATTAATCTTTTAAAGTTGTAAGCAGGGAAGTAGACGGACATTCAACCTTGTCGTTAAAAATTAAAGTGGGCCGAGATATGAACCCTTAGGAACACCCAATATTATAAAAGAGCCTTGTAACTTTTCCTTTCTAAGGAGAGGCCTATGTCCAGCAGTGGACTATTAAAGGCTGTTGATGATGATGATCGTAACTTTTATGCGCCCTTATCCATCCTAAAAAAAATAATGCAGTAAAAATGCAGTCCCCATTCTTTCGTTTGTCTTTTTGGCGCAGACTTGTTCTTATTAAAAATAATAGTTTGGAATATACTTTTATGATAACTTGCTTCAAAGGCTAGACTTATAGCAATACTCTCCTGCAAAAAATAAAACTGTGAGTAATCGGCAGCACTTTTCTAAATGTAATACGACACCCATACATATTATGTAAAGGATGTGATTTGAAGCCTACTAAAAGTTTTTTTTCTTACTATATGGTCTTTTGATATTTTGATATTTATTATTGGAGCCTTGTGAGAAGAAATCGAGCTAGCAAACACACAGTATAGAGTACTTACCGGTGAGCATACTCTCGTTAAGAACAGCCGTGCCATTAAGCAGCGCCGCATCGAAGTGCAGGGTGCAGCGGTTCGGCAGTAGGATGACGTCACCAGGCGCCACCATGCGGCTGTCCACGCGCCGCCCGTCCCCGAGATCCACAGTGTCAAAGGCTTCTACAGTAGCTCGGAGGTTATTTTGATTCTATAGTAAAAATATTAATTGAGTTAACGGTATGCACATCGGGTCCATAAACGGACTTAAAACCTAAGACATTCTCTATCAGTGAACTAGTACTTACAATGGCACTTAACGTTATCATTGGGGGTGAAGCAAAGAAAAGACATGTATAATGTAATTTCATACATTTATACAATCAACTAATTGAAAAACACAAACCTGAATATATTTATATGTTGGCAATCATAGAAGCATTAATATTTATATTAGGCTTAGAGATATCTATAACAAATTTATAATAGCAAATTCCTAATTTAAAAAAACATTCGTACCTTTTTAGTCTGTATCACAGATGTGGCAACACCAAAAGTAGACATGAGTACGACTGCGATGCAGTAGTAATAATAACGTTCAGCTACCCACACCCCTATTGTGAAGAGTTGGAATATGTAGAATGGGTTGAATACTTCTAGCAGGATTAGGGCTATGATGGACTGGACGGGCACTTTGATTTCGTTGAGTCCGTAGATGTTAAGCCTGACAAAAAATTATGAGAAACTTAATAATATAATTAATAGCAGAAAATTTATATAAAAGCAAAAATAAGAAATTTCTACCGAAAATACATGTGTGATATGTGTTGTTTACTACCATCCAGCAGCGACACATCGTTACAATTATGATATGGTAACTCCAGCACTTACATTCGAACTCGTCGCTCGCTCGAAGGCGGATGTCCCCCCGTAGCATGTAATTGTGCACAAGTCGCCCCACACTCGATGCCGCCCAGAAGACACCACTGTGCTCGTCCTCCGTCCCAGATCATGGTCTGCTTTTTATGACGAAAGTAACGATAGCTCTGCACATCTGGCGATGAACAAGATGTCTACCATCACATAGCTAAACATATATCTTATAATTTATCTGTTCATCATCATCAGCATCATCCTTGGAAAGGAGATTTGGCCTACTATACCACACTGACCAGACGGGTTGCTTGGGTATGCTTCAGGTTTTACTTGTCTTTGCAGTACTGTTGTCCTGCGGAGTTTGCTCCCGTAGTCGGCTCTTACGACACCCAGGAGATGAATAGGGGGTGGTGACAGTCCGTATTCTTAGTCCGTCACCACACGAATACTCAATGTCATACTTAAACTAATTTATTTATTTAAAATTATAAGATCAAATAGCTTTAAATGGATTTTTCTTGTTTTACTGAAATTTACACAATTGTTAAATTAAATTTAGTAGACCAAGCAGTTATCTATTAAACCGATACTCGATACTCAATCTAGAAAATAACATAGCAAAGGTAAAATCCATATTTTGAACTAGTCCATTCATCCGTTCGTCCAACCATCAAGGATAATAATAATACTCCTAATTGTACAATAAAATAAATATACAAAGAAAGAAAAATAAACTATTACCTACAGCATAGATTTCGCATAAGTCCTCTTAGTCTCTAAGCACAGTTTAATGCAATCAGTATGCAAAAGAAATGTAGGTGTGAAATATACTTACTAATTGAAGACCCATCAGCCAGGTGGATAGGGGTGTGTATTGCGTCAACAGATTCTATAGGTTGCTTCTCATTGTCACCCTCGTCTATGAAACCTAGATTTAGCAGTCCACTGGAAAGACACAATAAAATTGGTTCGTAAGCTATTTTTTTTAGCCTACTTTTCTCCATCTCTATACAGCAATTAATATGTAAGTACCTACACATGAATTTATAAAGACCTTATGAGTGGGCGAGCCGAGCAGGCTCCGAAACATACCCTGACCATAGAGCCTAGTGTGAAGTAAACTCACACTAGGCCCTCAGATCGGCAGTGTACTGAAGAAGAGCGTGGCGAGCGTATATGAAAGGCTAAGTTTAAGGAAAATTTCTTACAATAATTACAAAATATATTTGTTTAACTAGTCTACTATCAACTTCCTACTTTACATTTTAACTAAATACAAAGAAGTAAATATAATTCTATGAAAGACAAAACATGCTATTGATGAGTCTGAACAATGTCTCAATGTTAGAAGAATTAGTATAACATTTATACGTTTCTTTATAATGATGGTAGTTGTAGCGCCTGATAGCAAGCGGTTACCAATGTCTACAAATACTCGCAGTACCTGTTGTTACAAGTGACACACTCGTACTTTGCAAATCTTATCTTTCTTCCGAGCAGAAAAACAGCGTTCTGTTGAAATTGAAGCGAGATTGAGAATGATAGAGAAATAAGATCGAGAGAACGTGGAGAACTTTCTCTACTTCCTTTAGAACTTTTTATATGTCTGCGTTTTATGTGCTCATTAGCCTCTTTAACCCTATAGAAGGTAATAATTAGGTATACAAACATATAAGTAACGATTTTATTACATACCTCGCATCTGCTATATCTTTCTGTAGAATTTTGTGAATGTAGTAACTTTTGCATTTCTTCTGGTATGTTTCCTGGAAACAAAATATCAAGCATCGTAAGGGATGAGTTTTAACTAACAATTTCTATATTTTTGAAATTAATAAAGTGGGTGATGTGGCCGTTGCAAACGACCCATAACATTTGACACTCCGGTGCGGCCGGGGGGGTGTCGTCTAAGGCGGGGCGCTGTTGCGCCTCTTACTGTGTAGCTGTGTAGAGCGGTGAGGGGCGCGACAGCATCCCGCTCATCATGGAAGGTGTACTTACTTAACAAGAGCTTCAAGTATTCTAAATTTTGTTCTTAATTGGCAAAAAATTTTACAAAACAAACTTACACTTAGTGTTTCCAAATTCTGACAGTTGGGTGACACAACCTTGTTATTCGCGAAACTAACACCAACTATCATTGTGATAAAACAGAATCAAGAGTCGCTTTGGATGTTGTATGTACTTACAATTATTAAAACGCTGTCAGCTATCTGGAACGAGCATCTGACGCTTGTAGCGTACAGGAACCAAGTGGGAACCCAATGGAATAAAAGGATAGGGATCCCACAGAACAGCGTCGAGAGAATGTACGTGAGGATCGTCCGCCATCTGCTTTTGTGGTAGCCGTAGACCACCTGGTGACAAGGACGTTAATATTACTAAAACTTATAAGATAATCGTAATGAAAAGCATGTACGTTATAATAATATCTCCTAAGTTCCAGGCGTTCATAGGCGGCGGTAGTCACTTTCCATCAGGTGACCCGTCTGTTCGTTTGTTGCTCACAGACGGCCGTCTGACCCCAAACTAGGCAAAGTCTGTGCTATGGTAACCAGACTGCTGATAAACATACTTAAATATTTTTGAATACATGCATAGATACATATTATGGATAAATACTTTAGCAGAGGATCGGAGGATATTAAAAAATTAATTATTGTTATTTATATTATTTATACTCAAAAAATAATAGTTTATTGCAAGCTTTTACAAAAAATATACAGCCCTTACATTATTAGCTTCTTATTCAGTATGTAGGCAAAAAGATCTTCGAGAGACTATTGAATTCCCGTACCCCTTCCTAATGATATCCTCGGGGATACGAGGACAAACAAGTCAAATATTTGAAACAAGGCAGTCGGTCAGCTATTTATGGCTCACTAAATCCAGATACAGATAAGGTCCATTCAACAAAGAGACTCTTTTGACCTCGTCAGCCGTATTTTATTTTAGTCGAATCCAAAAAATATGTTTAAAACAATTAAGTATTGATATTTAAAAACATAATTATAAAGATATTGAGGTCATTTGCAATTTAAATTTTAAAGATTTTAATACGGAAATTGAATATAAAAATGTATTCAATTCGGTATTTGACTGCTTCGGTAGTGCAGTGGTAGCGTTTGCGACTGCTGTGTTGAGGTCTCGGGTTCGATTCCCGAGTTGGACCAAATGTTTGTATGATCTGCAATTTTTGTTTCAGAGTTTGAGTTTGTCTTTTCAATGTATAATATGTATGTATTTACAAACAAAAAACATATAGGTATTCTATCAGCCAGTCTAGCTTTCAGCTCTGCTAAGTTTGAAAGTAGATGGCGTTATGTGTCAGATGTCCAAAAATATTTTGTTGTTGTTGTAATCAATGTAGTAATTTTGTGAGTATGGTACTAGTGGGTTGGTCTAACTACTTTTATGATATTAACACAACATTATTGTGTGACAACCTTGCTCTGACAAGAGACTTGTACTAACAATGATTCAATAAGGGACAAAGATAACTATGCCATCTGTTAAACAGCAATGTTATCAGGCACAGATAATTTTTTAACCTTATGAACTTTGACAGTGGGCACTGTAGCACAAAGTTGCCATAGCTGATAGTTAAGGCCACTTTGTGCTTAGTTTGACCTAAAATCTTTCTTCTAAGCAATATTACTCATGTTACTTCGAGTTATTTACTATATATATATAGGTAAATGTGTGTGTTTTTGTTATCTGAACTATCTGATAAATATTGAAATATAGACTAGAGGCCAAAAACCATTTCAAAAATTCACAACTCGTAAAGTTTTTTGTATAAAAATTAGAAAAGCTGGCAAAAATTCAATGCTGTAACATTTATTTTTCGTTATAGGAAAACAAGAACAGACCAACTAACCTTTTTCCCAATGAATATTATATTATGTAGTAAGTTTTACATTTAACCCACTTACGAGATTCGATATTTCTGAGGTCCACATCATCACATCACACATCAACAGCCTTTAACAGTCCACTGCTGGACATAAGCCTCTCCTTAGAAAGGAGGTTTTCTGAGGTCCATACATATTAAATATATATTCAGATTAAAGATATTGCCATGTACATTTACTTCTGTGGATAATGACGTCATCGTTCGGGTCGGGACGATCATCATCTATTAGACTCACGAACACGAGTTATTGTATCGTTTAATGTTATTTCATGGGCCCATATTTTTTACTCATTTTATGCGTTTATTCTTAAATCAGCAAACAAGTTTGCACCAACTATGCATTTTGAGAGTTGTCGTTTCGTTTTGGTATCACCGATCAAAAAATATGTGGTTGGTGGTGCTAGTGTGTTGGCCACCTATTGTTCTAACCTAGCTGTCTAACTGAGCATTCAGAGATCAGTAATAAAAGGGAATGTTAAATTTACCTTTAAAATTTTATCTATTTTACGAAATTCTACGAATAAATCGTCTACTTCGAAGCAACTCGCTTGTAGACTGCACTAGTCACGAGTATAAGACGTGCGCAATCACTAGAATCGTTCAAACATGTCCATATCTTGTTACTTTTAAAACAATATAATAAATACAGGCTTTTACACTTTTCTTTTAATTAGTGATCTTGATTAATGTATTAATAAAGTTCTCTTTGTAGTGTTGGGAACATTGAGTTAAAACAACACTAGAGAAGCAAACCTCATTATCACACGTCGAAAAAAGTGTAACCACTTTTGAACTTTGACGACGTAGCTTTGATACCACTACACATTTGAAAGTAAACATATTTATGTCTCATTTACACGCGAGACAAGAACAATACCATCGCTCGGATTAGACAAAGACAAAGATATAACTTTACGATGGTGGGCCAGTGTTGACTACCGTATGAAATTTTACCCATAACAACTAAGAAACAATTTTTTTTTAAAACAACTTTGTAATAAAATAAATTAATTTAAATATTCTAAATAATATATTTCGAATTGAATAGAATAGGTATAAATAATAAAATAACTGGAAATATTTGGTTAAAAGGGTTTATATTCAGTGTAAAATCAAACTGCGCTGTGAAGCATCAGTTTTGTATACAATTGTCTTTTAGACTCTTTTTTATAAGTTTGTGTGGATATTTTACTTTCATGATACAATCTTATTTTTACGTATGTAAAAATAATAGCATTTAATAATAAAAGTGAATGATCAACTTGTACTGAAAATAAATAATCCCCAGGGTGTATTGCAAATTCTATTATAATTTAAAAAACAATTTTTTTTTTTATTTTATAAAAAAAATTATTTATGTTTATTTACTTTTTTATTTTATATTATTATTTTTATGATAAACATTTATTATTATTATTATTATTTTGTACAATTATTATTTAAAATTGATAATAAATTACTGCGAGCTTGGCACTTCTGCCAAGCTCGCAGTGAACGTTCAACGGGTCCCTAAAAAAAGGGATCGGTCCAGCCCTAACAACTACCGTTCTTCCTATATTTTATTATTATTGGCAAAATGTTTAAAAACAGTATAAAGCATATTATTTCATAAATTATAAATTCTCCCACTAATGTGGGAAAACCAAAATGATTTTTTAATGGTAACACTGATTCTAAATTACAATTATCAGTGTTTTATTTCAATTATAGCCTTATTTACGATATTATCAATACAAAAACCATAAACTTACACGTGAAAAGTAATTCCGCATGATTTATTAATGTTTTGTGACCTTGAATCGCATTCTTTCACTACGCATTTAGCCATTTTGGCGATTGTTACTGTCATGTGTCGCTATGTTCAACTCGGTTGACGCCACATTGAATAATGAATTGACGTTTGCTACGCATATGCCTGTGGACATATGTGCAGTAGCAACGATTTTAGGCGGTAATTACTCATCTATGTAAGTATTATATCAATGGTTGGGAAAGTATTTGCTGAGAAGATAGATAATTATCATTCACGTTAAGAGTTTAATAGTAATCATCAATGACAGAGAAAGTATAAATGAAGGAGTTCAGGGAACGGCTAGTACCGCTTGTGCGCTCATAGTACTCAAGTACATTAAGTAAAACTGACTGCTATATAAAATATAATAATGGATTTCACATGTTAGATGACAATGCAGGATATCCTTTTGGTGGCAAGTGATAAGCCCGTAATACAAATAAGTGTAATTACTAATAGTTATCATACTCAACATATTGCATTGTTGTAAAGAACATCTGGCTGTGGTCACATGTAGTCATAATATAAACAATATGTTAATTATTTAACTAGGGCGTTTAAACACTGCATGAAAATGTAATATTAAATTCTTTTATCAGCACGGAACCTCCATAGAATATTTATAATTTTTTTAATAATATGTTCTGCTTTTGCCAAAGAAGCGTTGTTAGGGCTTTTTTTTAAAGAAATTTTAGATTTTTGAAGTGAAACTTTAGAATGGTTGTGATTTTAAACTCGATAAAACTACAACACTTAAATGAATAGGATTAAGTCAGCGAGAGAATGACATAGAATACATTACACATTATTTTAATGTAATATTTTGACAGTGTGAATATTTTTATCTTTTTATTTAATACTGAATTTGTGGAATTTGAAAAACGTTGCCTTAGTGGGTTCGATTCCCGGGCCGGCCAAAATTTTGTAGAGTTTTTCGGAGAAAAAATAAAATTATTTTATTTCAGAAGCTTTACTTCTGCCGAGTGTGAATTGCACATGCACACTTCTTTTGCATGTATTATATGGTTTTGAGTTTTTGGGTTTAGTGTCCTGCAGCCATATCACAGAAAAATAATCAAAAAGCAAATACACTTTTCGTTCCACACCTATGATGAGCACCAGTTTATTACCAATTTATAAGGATGCCAATCCATTCTAAGGTTGGAAGAGATAGCTCTAAGTGATAAGGCCACCCTTTGTACATTATGTTTCATTTTAACTTTCTATTATATGTGTATGGAACCTTATCATCATCATCATAAAACAGCCTTTAGTAGTGCACTGTTGGACATAGGCCTCTCCTTAGAAAGGAGGTTTTGGCCTACTGGTATAGTAGGCCAAAACCTCCAGGCCAGACTGGTTGGTATAGGGTTTGTTTCAAGTTTTTCATCTCTATGGAATCTTATTATTCTTAATCTCTCTAAAAAACCTGAGGTATTTATCGTATTATCTATCTATTTATATACATATTCAATAAGCTTAAAACTACTTTTCATAAAACCATTGCCATTCTAGTACATAAAAGATTTATTTGAATCAGTAGTAGAAAATACCTTTATTGAGAATTACACACACATATATATGTGTGGAAGTGGCCATATTTTAGCTGACAAAACTAAATGTAACGATAGCTTTTGCCCGAAAGAGTCAACTATGTTATTTCACACACAGCTGTCTAATTTCAAATTAGGCACACTGTACTGTGGCAAATAATAATAATAACTGATCCCAAACAGTGCAGGGCCTGTACTATGCTAACTAGTCCGCTGATAAACATACTTAAATAATACTTATTATATAACAACCACACTCAGACACAGAACGAATGATGTGGCTTATCACAAAATTATTTGATCTAGGTCAGAATCGAACCCAAAACCTCTGATAAACATATTTACGAAATACAACATATTTATAATCAATGGAACGCTGACACAGAACGCAGTCATTTCCATTGTACAATATTTTTCCTGGGTAGAAAATTGACAATCAATTTGAGAGATGCATAATTTTACATTGATAACAGTTGCGCTTAGTCTTACAACTTGTTAACTATGAGTTTGTCAAGGATTTATAATTTGCCATGGAACACAGCAAACAATGTCATGCAGCCAAATTAATTTATCATCAATCATTTACAACATATGTTATTAAATATTTCGTACAGGGATAAAATCACCCTCTTTTAATACTTAACTATGAAGTTATATTTGTATTGATACTGCAAAGCAATTACAAGCAGTTTCAATAAAAAAAAATAAAAAAAATTACCTCTTCAAACTCAAGGTCTGTTTTAAAATGTTGTACATCGAGTTCCGAATATAAATATCTATCAGTTTCGTACTCGATTAGCGGCTGAATATCGTCTGCATCCATTACTTCACTATTTTATTTGTTTATAACTGCACACTTTTTTTTTATTTAAACGGAGTCTTAGCAGGATTCTGGTAAGAAAGATGTATATTGTCACTACACAACTGTATCTATTTACATAACTTGTAATTGCTTGATAAATTAATTGTTCTTAACACTTGCTTCAACAAGAATAATAACTAGCATAAGTTAATCAAATAAGACCACTTTAATTAAGTTGGCATGAGAGTACTTTACGTTTACCTTTAAAAATATTGAAAACGAATCAAGGATAAACCACAAAGACTTCCACTTAAAGACATTTTTCTTTCCCTATTTTGTATCTAAACATTAACCGAACCGTTCCGTGTACTCTCATATTACATTACCAATTTTTTTAATTAAACCAACGAGTATTTCAATCATAATAATTCAAATATATTACACAATGGATGAATTTGTAACAGCTGAGATAGTACTAAATTTAGATAAGTGACATTAGGTAGTAAACACGATTTGATTAGGAAGTGAATGTGAACGATCCGACGATCACATGTGATGTAAGATACTAACTTATGTACGACAGAAGGAGATGCAAGTTAAAGTTACCATACTGTCATTCGTTCTCGGTTAACGTTCCTTTTTACGAGGTTACGTGATAAAAAAATTATTAAAATGTAAGCCAATAAGACTTGCCATTAGTAGTGCTTAACACTACACTTTATTAAAGGTGAAGATAGCTGCTGGGTTGAACATCAGATACGCATGAGAGCCTCGTAGAGACCGTTATACTATACTAAGTCAGATTAACTACTCTAAGTTTTTTTGAAACCGAAAGAGTTTGGCAAACTATCTTGAAACAATTTAGAAAAAATGAATCTTGAACTCATTGGATTACATGTTGAATAAATGCTGGGTTTACGCCAATAGTTTGGCCTCCTGTTACGTAAGGACACGAATTTATTTATGGTCTGCATAATTTGAGATCGAAAAATTCCAGTAGGCATTTAATTCAGAAAACGCTAAAATAAGTTTAAATGCTGAGGCAGACTCTGAGCTATCTCAGCTTATGGCAATAAAGTAGGTAGGTGAAAAAAAACAGTAGGCTAGGTAGGTCTCACGAACAACACCTGCGTCTCCTTTCAAAAATATCGGTCTGTTTTCAGATATCTAGATTTTTTCTTGTGTCAATCTGTCAAATAATCTATTAAAATTAACTATAATGATGTGCCACCGGTGCCACGTTAACAAAAGCGAAAGATTTTTTCTAAATAAATATGAAATTATCTACTAGGACGCCCAAGTTTTGTTTGCTCTTAATGCATAGAATTTACTATTGAATGTTGTTAATGACAAGCCGGCAACGCGTTTGTGACTCCTGAGTTGCAGACGTTCATGGGCGGCGATGGTTACTTGTCATCAGGTGACTCGTCTGATCGTCTGCCCTCTCTAACACATTAAAAAAAAAACATAAAAATTATATTTCTTTTGTATTGCACCTCAAATAACGTAACTGTTATTTTTAACTATAAATATAACTATAATAAAAAAAAAAACAAGATGTAACCGCTGTTCAAACTCAAAATTCATTTTAATTAAAATAATATTTTAAGAAATGTAGTTACAAAAAATAACTAAATTAAGTTAACGATACAAAACAGAAGAGTAAGGAATAATATTACAATTGTGAGAATATTAAAAAAAGGAGTTTCTTAAAAAAATACGACTTATTTCACTTACCATATGACTGTCATCTATTGAAATAGTCTGTTCCATGCTGAGCGTCATAGTGTTATACTTTTACGGGACGGGTATCTGTAACAAATAATATAAGCAAATAAGTAATAATAGATTACGTTCACCATGTGACGGGTCCAATTTTGAACTTAATAAATTCGGTCTACTGATTTTAATATATATTACTCGTACATTATTAAATCGAACTGACTTGTACTTATATTCCACTATTTCATATAATTTGACCGATCGGATTTATATTTAATAAGTCGAAACCAATCAGGTCAAATTATAAGATCTTATAAGGCGAAACAGGTCAGGTCAAATAATTATATTAAATAGTGGAATATAAGTACAAGTGAGTTTGATTGCATAATGTATTTTAACAAGTTAAGAAATAAACTCCAGTCGTGCGTTCGACGAACGACTGGAGTTTACGCTGACACACATACTTGTTATTTTCCCTTATAGATTTTGTCAAGCGAAATAGTGAGCAAATTTTTTATTTCTTCACCTGGTTTATTGTACTTTTGCCTTGAATCTGTGTACCTATGTACTTTTCTGCATCATTGACAATATAAGTATGTGCAAAATATCATGATGATGATTTAGTAAATTAGAGTAAAGTCCGTTTAAATAAGGGGGAGGGGGGGATTTCAATCAATCAAGTTAAGTATTAAAAATCTCGGGAGATGCAAAAACCCGCTAACATAAGAAGCATGCGCTGCGTTCCGTTTTACGGAACATAACGACTTTAAGAGTGTAAAATTTAATGTAGTCGTTCATTTCATTCAGTCTTTGAATGTTGTGACTGACTAGTATATAGTTATCTGTGGTGTGATTCTAACCTAAAATTAGACTAATCAGTGCTGCCAACCTAATGGATTTTCCACTAAAACTGGTAGTTTCAACCCTCCTTTTAGTGGCGGTATTTTGATTTTAGGTGGCTATTGAATTTTTTAATTGGTTAGTAGTAATAGTCACATTGTAGAGGAATTAGGAAATGCTGTTGAAAGATGAACTGTGAGAACTGTTTGTGTACACAAGCAGTTTATTAGTAGTAGTAGTAGTTAATAGAATACCTCAAGAACGTTTGATGGGAAATAAAGGATAGGGATTGGATACAAATGCTCAGGAAGGCAAGGATTATTAATTTTAGTCAATGGGACGATTTAGTCTTTGTGCCAGACGCGGTTTGGTGCGCTCGCTCATTTTCGTGAGCACAAAAGAAACATGAGGGTTCCAACACAGGGTCATCTACACGAAGTAGATGGCCTGAATACGACGGGGTAAAAGGAATTCCAATAAATGTTGTAAAACAAATCAGTAAAAATTGTATTAATCTGGAACCGATGATGATGGTGCTGACAAAAACGATTAGTATCAGTATTAAATTTTTTAATAAAGGAAACTAGTAATTAATATACCTATGGTTTTCTTTCGGACTCAATTACTAAAAAAATGTTTAGTGGAAAAATTTGTGCCTATTAGAGTAGGGTCGTTTTCGTTAGTGGTTTTCAGGGTGCTTTTATATGTTGAATCTGGTGGAGAGTTCATTTAAGTGTTGGCAACACGTCTAATTCTACGTTCAGGTTTCGTTGTTGTTTTGTGACGGTACTGTATATGTATAATCGCCAAATTTAATTGAAATACGGAGAATTATATAAAGAACGATTAAAGAATTTGTTTCGGTATGTTTGTACATTGTTTAAGTTCTCGTATTAGTGTTAAATTTACGTGTTCAACTAGTGGTGGGACATAACCTCCAATGTAATACAAAAATTGTGTTTAAATTGACTTCCCACGTAGTTTTTTAGTTTATATTGCTTAGGCTTTATCTATCTAAAAACTGTAAACAAGCAATTCTTACAAATATATGCATATATAATGTATCCAAATAGTTTTTAACAATACATGTTCAAGACTATTTAGATAAATTTTGTATAGATTCAGTTTTGGGGTTTAAGTTTATGTATGTGTGTCTATCGCATAAATAGATAACCGAAAATATACATGACATTTTTACAAAAATTTAAATGCCGAGCAACGGCTTACCCGGATAGTCTAATTTAACGTTTATTTAATTATTTTACAGGAACAATGATTATCCCAGTACGTTGTTTCACATGTGGAAAAGTAATCGGTAATAAATGGGAGGCCTACCTCGGATTATTACAAGCTGAGTACACTGAAGGGTATGTACTTAAAAATTATTTTCATCATCAACAGCCTTTAGTCCACTGCTAGACACAGACCTCTCCTTAGACAGGAGGTTTTGGCCTACTATACCACTCTGGCCAGATCCCTTAGTTGGCTCTAACGACAACCACAGCATGAATAAGGGTGGTAACACTATTCTTAATCCGTCACCACACCGATAGTTTTATTGTACTTTAATATATCAACAAAACTTGTTTATATCAGCACACACAGTGGCATCTCTTATGGAACTGTAAGCAACACATATAAACTTAAATTTGTTTTATTTCCACTTGGGACTTATAACAGCATGGTGGTTTAAAAGGGTCACCTAGCTACTTCCTATTGCACTGAGTGTTGTGGGTTTAAACTCCTACAACACTGTGTGATCCACAAAGTTCAAGTTCAATCATAAGTTTAATATTTCGCAAATACACACATGTAAGACCTATCATCCCCATACTTATATACTTTAGTAGCTGACCTGACTTTGTCTGCATCTCAATGCATGGCTCCTATTGGTCGTTGCGTGATGTTATATAGCCTACAGCCTTTCTTTTTCACTTCGAGCCAGTAGTGCCAGAGATTAGTGCATTCAACCAACCAACTGATCTAATTTTATTTTTGATTAAGTATTTTTAGAAGTTTTGTTGTGTGTTTTATCTGTACATATGGAAATTAGCATTCTCTCTTTTGGGCTCCAGGGTTGCTTCAATTATATTAAAATAAGATCTTTTAATACGAAAATTGTATAGAGTAGTAAATGTTTGTCAAATCAATCAAAGCTTTCATTATTCTTAAGGACCTGCGAAGGACTAGTTGCAAGTTTTTATTATACTGGTTTTTTGCGAGCCGACCAAATTCATTTCCAAAACACTTTAGTTTATCAAAAAATCTCTGTGGCAGTTCTCCAGCCTCTGAAGATAGAGTCTTAGAACTAGCCAATGTGCCTGTCTCAGCGCTATTATTTTTGTGTAGTATATATTCTCTGCAAATACTTATTGGTGTACTCCCCACACCTCTGCACATGCCAATCCAAAACATTGTAACTTTTGAAAAGGACTTTTGACTTTGTAAGCTTTGTTACA